GGTCTGGAGCTCAGGAGACAAATCTAGGCTGGGGATTTAAAATTCAGTATCCTGCAGATGGGATCTGAAGCTCTGCACATAGGTGAGATCATGCAGGGAGAGTAGAGAGTCAGAAGAGATAAAGGCTGAGGGCAGAAACCCGGAGCACAGACATTGGAAGGGTAGATAAAGAGTGTGTCCTTCAAGACCAAGAAAGGGAAGCCAGAGAGGTAGGAAGAGATGCAGGAGAAGGTGTTACCCCAAAGCTGATGGATTGAGTTTCCTCTGGAGGAGAAGTGGTCAAGAAGAAAAGGGAAACACCTAACACCTGCTTTATGCTGGCAAGTTTATTTACCCCTTGCCCTCTCATTATCTCCTAATTCTAAGAAGTGTGAATCATCCCCATTTTACAGATGAGAAAGTTAAGAGGCAAAGATATCATGGGAGTTAAGTGAAAGGATTAGCCTAATGATGATAGAAAAAGGCCTACTCTTCAGAGGGAAGAGGGCAAAGATAAAGAAAAGCATGAAGGTGGAGAAGGGGAAATTGAGAATGTTCATGTGTGAGGACTTGTTTTCTTTGTGCTCTTTTACAGCTCCACCTCAGACATCCAGGTTCCCAGGAAGGTATTGACAGCGGGAGTGGCCGCCCATGTATTGCTCCCAGGAAGCAATAATGCCTCCACCTTATTGCTTCCTGTTGTCAACACAGGTTCTAAAAGACCAGGGGGACTCAGCACATGTAGCTCAGCAGCTAAGGCGTCAACCACATGACACTTGAGCTGGTGGGTTCGAATCCAGCCTCAGCCTGCCAAACGACGATGACAACTACAACCAAAAAATAGCCAGGCGTTGTGGTAGGAGCCTGTAGTCCCAGCTACTTGGGAGGCTGAGGCAAGAGAATCACTAGTGTCCAAGAGTTTGAGATTGCTATGAGCTGTGATGCCATGGCACTCTACCAAGGGTGACATAGTGACACTCTGTCTCAAAAAAAAAAAAAAGATGGGCAGTGCCTGTGGCTCAGTGGGTAGGGCACTGGTCCCATATACTGAGAGTCACAGGTTCAAACCCGGCCCCAGCCAAACTGCAACAACAAAAAAAATAGCTGGGCATTGTGGCCAGTGCCTGTAGTCTCAGCTACTTGAGAGACTGAGGTAAGAGAATCGCCTGAGCCCAGGAGTTGGAGGTTGCTGTGAGCTGTGTGATGCCACGGCACTCTACCAAGGGCAATAAAGTGAGACTGTCTCTACAGAAAAAAAAAAAAAAAGACCAGGGGGCCAGGAAGTTGGCCATTCCAACTTCCTTCTTATATGGGACCATCAGCATGTTTTTTGTATTTCATAACATCATTCACTTCTATTTGGTGTCTGTTTTTTAGTCTTGGTTTGTACAAGGAAGCATGCAGAAAGGAACTATTAATACAAAGATGTATGAGATAGAGCCTATTTTCTTAAAAGTTCAGCCTGGTGAGGGACAGGAAGCCCTGGATCAATAATTCCATTAATTAGGATTGGTTTGAGCTATGAATGACAGGAAACCCAAAATAACAGTGGATTTGACACGATAAAGGCATATTTCTCTTTCATGTCAACATCCAAGAAATAGGAGCTACCTAATCCTGGGAGATCCAGGTTCCTTCTGTCCTCAAAATGCAGCTCTGCCAGTGTGTTTGCTCCTGCCACTGCCATCAGGTCATGTACTAGTTAGGAGGGAGGAGATAAAGGGACAGGGAAGGGCCCCCTCCAGTCTCATCCTTCTCTGAAGGACACTTCCCAGAAGGTGCACACACCACTTCTACTCACATTCCATGGGAGATGGGAATCATTTCCCAGGGGGCCATATTCTCAGCTAACAACCATGTGTCCTATAACTGTAAAAGGGAAAAAGTCCAGCGGTCTCTGCCAGTGTTGCTCAAACAGGTACACTAGCTCTGGAACCCTATTTAATGTTTCTGTGCCTCAGTGTCCCCACTTATAAAATGGTGATAGTAGTTGCTACATATAAACGTTACATATGCACATACGTACCTATAGGTTAACATAAAAATTGTTACATTTAATTCCTTAGTAACAGTCTCTTGACACGTGCTGTGTAGGCATTTGTTAAATACAAATAGAGTAAAAATAAGTAATCAAATGGGAATTTCAAGAGTGTACACATCAGTGGAGAGAATCTGAAAAAGGTTTTATGAAAACATGTAGACTGTCAGTTTGTAATGGCTCAAAGGACCTCATTCCTTTTCTCTACACCCCCAGCACTTAATGTGGCACCCTCCATAGAGTAAGTGCTTGAAATACTGGTTGCTGAATAGGCTTTTGAAAATATTATTGTTGGATGAAAAATGAGACAGGAAAGATATTTTAGGTGGAATTAACTGTATGAACAAAGACATGAGCAGTGAAAATGCACTGTATCTGGGACAGTACTTTCTGTGCACAGTGTATGTTCACTGAATACTCAATGTCAGCCAGTTTACTGGGTGGAAAAGGATCAGGCAGAAAAACTAAGAGGAAGTTGCAGAGCTGACAGAAATGCACCAAGGACAGGAAACCTCTACTAGTGAAGCCTGGGCCATCCAGCGGTGGGGGCTGCCTGGACCATGGTGGGACCACAATCCAACCCAAGGCAGAAAGGGAAGGAAACACTTGAGTTTCCACCTTCTCAACAACATTGTCCTACTTAAAAATCAAAGGACAAATTCATCCATATTCAAATACCCAGATAATTATAGAAGGCCAGGTATACAGAGACTAAAAGTTAGACTTTTTAAAAGTATCTAAAATCTGCATACCTTCTTGAATAAATAAATTGTGAATATCATATTTGACATGAAAAAGCTATACATATTATTGGTTTTAATTTCTTATAGTACTTAATAGGTGACATTCGATGATTTTTACTTGAATAATTGCATTTATTTCACTGAATAAGGTAGTTTTACATGTTAGAAACTATATTTTGTTCCAAGTTATTTAAGTGGCTTACACAAAATACATATAATAAAATTAAAAATCAATGAAGACAAAAGAGCATGGATGTTAAAATAGGTGTTCTTATAGCATAGGCTATTATCTCCTGGTGAAAGATAAATTAACTCAGGTATTTCTTCTTCCTGTTTTCATATTCTCTCATATAAGCTCCTTATTTTACTCAGTAGAAGGTAAGACATAGTATTTCTTTTTTTTTTTTCTTAAGAGACAGAATCTCACTTTGTCTCCCTCTGTAGAGTACGGTGGCATCACAGCTGACAGCAACCTCCAGCTTTTGGGCTTAGGTGATACTCTTGCCTCAGCCTCCTGAGTAACTGGACTACAGGTGCCCACCACAATGCCTGGCTGTTTTTTTTAATGTTGCAGGCTGGCCATGGCAGGGTTCAAACCTGCCACCCTCAGTATATGGTGCCGCCCAAAGGCAAGACATAGTATTTTAAAAATGAAAATTTTTCTATAAAAGGGACTGGGTATGATGGTTCACACCCTATAATCCTAGCACTTTGGGAGGCCAAGGCCAGTGGATTGCCTGAACTCAGGAGTTCAGGACCAGCCTGAACAAGAGCAAGACCTCGTCTGTAAAAATGGCTGGGCGCTGTGGTGGGTGTCTATAGTCTCAGCTAGAGAGGCTGAGGCAAGAGAATCGCTTAAGCCAAAGAGTTTGAAGTTGCTGCGAGCTATGATGCTATGGCACTTTACTGAGGGCGACAAAGTGAGACTGTCTCAAAAAAAAAAAAATTCTATAAAAGAAAAGACACCAATGCTTCCCCACCGCCACCTATGAATGTTATTGTCGGTTCATCTATTACTATGCTGCTGTGTCTCCAGATAGTAAATATGAAACTTCATATTTACTAAAATCTCAAGGAAGCAATATGCTGGAAAAATAGAGGTCCGGTAAATAATGACACAGAGGAAGCTACAATTCACCAAGCATCAACAGAAATAACCAACACTCCTTGGGGTCCAGAAAGCAGCCTAGCTAGGAAGCACCCTTGTGTCACTCATTGGAGATGAGGTAAACCAGGCCACTTCACCACCTGACCAAGTTAAAACTACATAATTTACTCCTGTTGCAGTTAGAACACAACACTGAATCTGGGTTATAGTCACATCGCTCCTGTTTCAGGTGCCAAGGACGGAACATAGCCCTCTTTATCCTCTACCTTTAATTCTAACTTTCTAGAATTAGAAAGTCATCTTTTAAGTCCTGTTTATAGCTTCATGTATTTGCTCCAAAAAACTTTTATCACTCCTTTGTTTTCTTTTTTTTTTTTTTTTGAGACAGGGCCTCAAGCTGTCCCCCTGGGCAGAGTGCCGTGGCATTACAGCTCACAGCAACCTTCAGCTCCTGGGCTCAAGCGAGTCTCCTGCCTCCGCCTCCCAAGTAGCTGGGACCACAGGCGCCCACCACAACGCCCGGCTATTTTTTGGTTGCAGCCGTCATTGTTGTTTGGCGGGTCCGGGCTGGGGATTCGAACCCGCCACCTTAGGTGTACGTGGCTGGCGCCTTAGCCGGTTGAGCTATAGGCGCGGAGCCACTCCTTTGTTTTCAACTGTAACTTTTATAGAGGAAACAAGCAGATCTTTGTATCCCAACTTAAACTTTCTGGATCTGAATTTACAACCTGATTATAGGGCACTTCTAATCTATCATCTCCCCCCTACCCCTATGCACACAAAATTGCATATTACTTACATTGTCTATATAACTTTGATCATTTTTTTTTGAGACAGAATCTCATTTTGTTGCCCTCAATAGAATGCTGTGGTGTCACTGCTCACAGCAACCTCCAGCTCTTGGGTTTAGGCGATTCTCTTGCCTCACCCTCCCCAGTAGCTGGGACTACAGGCGCCCACCACAACGCCCAGCTATTTTTTTTTTTGTTGCATTTTGGCCAGGGCCGGGTTCAAACCCACCACCCTTGGTATATGGGGCCAGGCACCCCACTCACTGAGCCACAGGCATCGCCCTCTTTGATCATTTTTAAAGTTATTTGAACACATTAATAAACCTTATATATTTCCTCAATTAGAAGAAATGCAATCTTTTAGATTTTTTTTGAATAACCAAGCACTGAAAACTTTACAAAAAATTTAAGTATCCCAAAATGGTTGAGAGGTGGATGTCATTTGTAGACACCAAGGGGCACATGATTCTCAACTTTTTCCAAATCAATTTCCCTATATTAACAGGGCCAACATAATTTAGATGCTGTTAATTTTCAAAATGTCTTTAGTAAAAAAAAAAAATCTTTAGTAAAGAACAGGGAGATGTAAAATGTTGTGGTTTACTTGATAAATCTTAATTGCGAAATTTCTTCTTCTTTCGGAACTTTTTCCCTGCTGCATTTGCTGCTTTTTCAGCCATGATCTCTGAATACTTCCTTCGGTTATACCTGAAAGGAAAAACCAATCCTTTATGTTCTGAAGTACATCATGCCAGATGTTAGAAGTTAAGATAGTCTTGGGGAAGGGGTTCCTAACTCCCAATTTTCTGCACTTTTACCATCTATCCATCATGTGTACCAAATTGCCACCACATATCAGGAGCCACATTGTAAGCTGGGGATAGAGCAGTGGGCAAGACAGCTATAATCTCTGCCCTCACAGAGCCTGTAATCTAGTGAGGAAAAAATGGCAAGTGTAGGAGTAGTTTTGAAAACGTTTAGCCATTAGACACCATCTACTAGGCAATGTCAAATGCAAATTTAAATTTTCTGTGGGATAAAAATGCAAAAATAAGGACATACAGACCAATGGACCTTAAAAAACATAGACCAATGGTTTTTAAAGTATGGTCTGCAGATTAGAGACCTTGACAAGGGGTCCATTAGGCAAAAATTACTTTCTCAAGAACAAGGCATTAGCTGCCTTTTCACCCTTAGCCTCTTGTAAGTGCTCAGTTTTCCAGATACTACATGACACATGGTTATTTTTGTTTTGTTATTTTCACTATATTGATATTCATATGCGATGGGTTATTATTTTAAAATGAGTTAAAGGGCTCAGCACCTATAGCACAGTTTTTATAGCGCCAGCCACATACACTGAGGATGGTGGGTACACACCCAGCCCAGGCCACCCAAACAATTACAATAAACAAAATAGCCAGGTGTTGTGGTGGGTGCCTGTAGTCCCAGCTACTTGGGAGGCAGAGGCAGGAGAATCACTTAAGCCCAGGAGTTTGAGGTTGCTGTGAGCTGTGACACCACAGCACTCTACCCAGGGCAACAGCTTGAGACTCTTTCTCAAAAAAATTAAATAAATAAATAAAATAAAATGAGTTAAAGAAAAGTGTACATATTGTCAAATGGATTATAAATTTCTTTACCTTCTAAACTCAGAATCAGCCAGCAGTTCTTCCACAATAGTTCTTTTCCTTTGCTTCTTAGGAATTCGTGAATGGTAGAAATCAGCAGGATTGTCAACGATGGTTCCAATCTATGACAATTCATTGAAATAAGTCATACAATAACTGAACACCAAGTGGTTTTTGTATTTCAGTTTAGCTCTAACAGTTTATTTACAGAAAGGAATGGAAAACATAAGCTTATGTTATACCAGTATTAGTCTTGCCATTTTTTCAAGCAAAAATAAATCATCTACTTGGCATACTGGTGCTACTAATGATGTTTGTTTATGTAGATCCAAATTTGTATGGACAGTGGAACCTCTATAAGTTGACCACTCAAAGGACTATAATAAACGAGTCCACATACACAGGTGGTCAACATAAAGAACTAGGCTAAATGTACTGATATGTACATGTGGTGCATGTCTGATTTATAAAAATTAGGTCACCTTAAGGAGCTGGTCAGTGTAGGAACGTGGTCAACTATGAAGGTTCTATAGTTTAGTGTAAATTTACAGTACAGTCAATTCGTAAGGAACAGTATAACTGAAAGAATAAAAAGGGACACATAAAGAAACTTCACTATGCAAAAAGAAGGGCTAAGCACGTGCAACCTCAAAGCAGGCAAGGACTGGTATGTATGTGTTCTGAGAAGTCTGAGCAGTGGAGTATGCTGGAGCTTAAGAAGGGTAAATGACAGAAAAAGGGCTAGTAAACTAGCTTAGGTGCAAATTATTAAGGGCCAAGTTAAGAGATACAGACTCTTCAGGTCATAAAGAATCTTTGGGCTCGGCGCCTGTGGCTCAAGCAGCTAAGGCACCAGCCACATACACCTAAGGTGGCGGGTTCGAATCCCCAGCCCGGGCCCGCCAAACAACAATGACGGCTGCAACCAAAAAATGGCCAGGCGCTGTGGCGGGCATCTGTAGTCCCAGCTACTTGGGAGGCTGAGGCAGGAGACTCGCTTGAGCCCAGGAGTTGGAAGTTGCTGTGAGCGTGATGCCATGGCACTCTACCCAGGGGGATAGCTTGAGGCTCCGTCTCAAAAAAAAGAATCTTTGAAGCTTCTAAGAAGAGGTGTAACATTAACAGATTCTTTTTAAGACTACATGACTGGCTACAATAAGGATGATGGCCTAGAAGGAAGAGCAGACCTAGAGACAGAAGACTATTACAGTAATCCAGAAATGATTGACAAAATGGCAATCCAGAAGGAAATGAACTTCAGGAAGATCAACTGGACTTCCATCTGAAAACTACATTTTAAACTATTTCAGACTTTGCCTGAGGATGATCCTCCACTGTGAAAAGAGGAAGGGATTGGTACCGATGACTCCCTCTTTCTCCCTCCATCCTGCATGGGCTCTTGCTCTTAAGTTAGCACTATTCACACATTCATACAATGAACCTTGAAGGTTCAGTAAGTTGTAGGGAGCTGACCTGGAAACCTTGCTACTGTTGTGTAACACCATCTCTCTATATGTGCCATCTGAATTGGGTTGTGACCATCATTATGTGGCCTACCCAGATACACTCCCTGCTTTAGGCATGCACGTTGTAAATATTCATCTACTTGAAGAGTAAACAGAAACATCACTATAGTGCTTTCCAGACTCCAAATCCACAAACCACCACTATTCTGCTTGCTTCCTACCTGGAAGTACTTGGGGAAGCCATCTCTATCATTTTTCTTATAAAACCTTTTAGGGTCCATGCTTGCTCTCATCTTCAGTGCTCTGAGATCATTTTTCAGTTCATCTGTCAATTCCGGAGCTTTCATACCAAACCAGCCATCCCCTGCTGTTTTCTGTCGTTCTTTCTGAAATTCAGATTTCAAAAATAAACATGTTTTAATGTCTAAGACGATACATTTACAATTCATTTCCCCCCCAAATTACACATACAGAAAATGTTGTGAATCAAGAACACATGGTTACTTTACAGAAAATATTTATCTTCAGAATTATCTTTATAAAAAGAATTAAATCACAAAACATTGATTTATCTGGCATACTGGGCACAGGATTATCAGCTTCATAAAATGAGGGATCCTTAAAATCTACTTTGTATATCATTAACTGCTGACTGCAGGGAGAGTAACACAAAGCTTCAAAGCGCATTGTCTAAAACAGACCACTTGAGAGACATTCTGATTTCTAGGGCTTATAAGTAAACATTAACATTTTTATTCATCCAGGTGTCTCAGAAAGCCACTCTAATAGTCCAGAAAGCTGTATTATTTCTAAAACAAATTATTCTCTTGAAAACTCCAAAAAAGTTGTTTACTTAATTTTATTTCATTTCAAACAAATGAGTACCTACCACACAGGAAGGCACTTGATATTAGTGACATTACTGGAGGACCATTCTCAACCTTCCTTCTGCTTCTCCTGACAATTTTTTATGTTTACTGGTTGAAATGGCAGACAGAAGCAAACTAAGGAAAATATTATTCTCTCATTAAATTTCCTACAATAGACTTCAACAGAGCTCTTAACTTAAAGCTCTTAACTCTTAAAGTTACCCACAAGCCAGGAGGTGTGGACAGTGACCCTGTATACTGGCTATAATTTTTTAAGGTAGGTTAAAAAAAAGAAAAAAAAGGCTTTACCTATGTGTGTACCACTATGGTTGCAAAGATGTGAAAATCCATACAAAATGTGTTTATGGAACCGTAACTAGACATTCATGTTGTAAAATGTATAAGCTGAAAATATACAAACATATCTAAGCATTCCAAATAAGTTACTGTACTTACTCTGCGTTTTTTCTGAAGTTGATGCTTTGATTCACTATATGGTGGGACAGAGTAGTTTTTTTCAAAATCAGGTGTAATGATGGCTTTCTGCAGAAGCTATAAACACATAAAATTGATCATAAAGTATCAGAATGTTCTATCATCTTTTCAGCAATTTAAACTTACAAGATTTAAAAATTTGGGGTAGTCTGTCTCAGTATCTGTAGCACAGTGGTTGCGGTGCCAGCCACATACACCGAAGTGCCAGGTTCAAACCCAGCCCAGGCCAGTTAAACTTTTAACAACTGCAACAAAAAACAGCCGGGGGTTGTGCGGGCACCTACAGTCCCAGCTACTTGGGAGGCTGAGGCAAGAGAATCACTTCAGCCCAAGAGTTTGAGGTTGTTGTCAGCTGTGACACCACGGCATTCTACTTAGGGTGACACAGTGAGACTCTGTCTCAAAAAAAAAAAAAAGAAAAAAAAATTGGGGTAGTCATGTCTCTTAATATTTCCTAAATCACTTCTGTATTTTGTTACTGGTCTAGGATTATTAAATAGTCTTTTTCTTGTAACCTGTGTGATTACAAGGAGTCTCAGGGTAATTCGTATTTAGTACTTTCCCCAGTACAAGAACCAAGTAAGACTGCTCCTTAACCCTCAAAATAGTTCACAGGAATGCAGCTCAAGCAGTCATTAGTTTGGAATTGACATTTAAAATTATCAATTCAGAAAAAGTCACCAAATTCAGGTTCAGACCTAGAAGTGCCTGGGTGGTATAGTATAGTCTAGGCTTTCCTATCAGAAAGCAGAACATATTATTTACTTAAATGATTAAATGAGTTTGCTCTGTGTCAAATACTATACAGGCTCTAGTACAGTGGTTCTCAACTGGGAAAGTTTGGTGGTGGTGAGGAAAGGGGAGAATGCCACTGGGATTTAGTGGGTAGAAAGCAGGGATGCTGCTAGACATTCTACAATGCACAGGACACCCTCCCACAACAAAGAATTATGCAACCCCAGGCAGTACTGCAGAGGTTAATAAACCTTGTTTTAGGAATAAAACAATTATATGATCAATAACAAATCAGATCTACAGTAGCTGTTACAGAAGCACAGAGGGGCTGGGGAAGGACTGAGGTGTCAATGACTGTTTTCCAAAGGTAGTGTCATCTATAATTTTTGCCTTGGCCTAGGAAGGAGCAGGGTATTTTAGGGGAATTACAGTAGTCTTTAATGGCAAAAACAGAGCAGATGATAGGGATAGGGATAGAGAGGCATCTTGAAGTATCTAAGCAGGAGAACATCTTATCAAATTTGTGTTTTTAGAAAGAGTAATCTAGGGCCAGGTTCAATGATGGTGTATCATGCCTGCAATCCCAGCTACTCTGGAGCGTAACGCTTTTTTCTGAGACAGAGTCTCAAGCTGATGCCCCGGGTAGAGTCCTGTGGCATCACAGATCACGGCAACCTTAAACTCTTGGGCTTACGCAATTCTCTTGCCTCAGTCTCCCAAGTAGCTGGGTCTACAGGCACCCGCTACAACGCCCGGCTATTTTTTTGTTGTAGTTACAGTTGTCATTGTTGTTTTAGCTGGCCTGGGCTGGGTTCCAACCCACCAACCTTGGTGTATGTGGCTGGCACCCTACCTAGTGAGCTATAGGCACTGCCCTGAAGCAATTCTTCTATTCTTGAACTAAGTAGTTTAAGAACAGCCTGGGCAATATAGGGGAGGCCCCATCACTAAGAAAAAAGAAGAAAAAAAATATAGCCGGGAATGGCAGTGTGCACCCATAGTCCCAGCTACTACAGAGACTAAGGTGGGAGGATCTCTTGAGCCCAGGAATTCAAGGCTGCAGGAATTATAACTGTATCACTATACTCCAGCCTAGAAAACAGAGTCAGACTGCAGTCTCAAATTATTTTTTTTTTAAATCTAGGAAAAGTATGAAGGATGGCTGGAAAAACAAAGGAGATAGAGACCAAATCGATGAGGAGGCTACAGGAGTATTCCAGATGAGAAATAAAAGGCCTGCAGTCGCCAGCGATAGCAGCTTGAAAAGGAGGAACAGAGGAGTCTTCTAGGCTTGGTGACTGACTACAAAAAGGAGATTTTGGTGTCATTAAGTAGGATAGTGACTAAAAAGGAGTATCCCTGATTTACACAGGGAAGAAGTGGGGAATTAGGGAGGTGAAGTGTCTCAGTCCCTAAATGAACAAATAGGCACTTGGGATTTAAAGATCTGAAGTTAAGAGGCATCAAGACTAGAAATACAGATTTGGGAAAAAGCAGCGGAAGGTAAGGTTACCCTAACAGTAATTTCTTCCAAAATCTTATGTATAATTTTATGTCTATACGCACATGTGCATTTTTTCCTGGTGGGGAGCCAGATATTCACAGCTTTCAGATTCTCAACAGGATCCAGAAAAGTTGAGAACTTAAGAACTGTAAGTATAGCAAGAGGAATGTTGATCGTCTACTAATTCACTTTTCAAGCATTATCTTTCACAGAAAGGACTTAATATAAAAGAAGAAATGCCTGTTCTAGAAAGAAGTGAAAAAGCACATTAGGCCACTGTGGTTACACTGAAGTTTTTTCTAGAACTCATTTCTAGAAGCGATTGGTTAGTTTTAAGAAAACCTAATAGGGCACTTCATGTAACTTACTTCATTTTTCCTTTTCTCCTTAATCTGTGTTAGGTTTCTCTTGTTAGACTGCAGTTTGTCTGCATTGAAATTGATATATAAACCACCCAATTGCTTGATACTCAGGCCAGGGTCTATGCTGCTGCTTGTCAACTTCAGACTGAAAGAAAGAAAAATCATCACTTAAAGATCTTATAATTAAATCAAAATGGAAACAAGTCAGATTGCATTTTAAAAATCATTCACTCTCTTCCCTTATATTATCAAGGACAAAAAAAGCATCTTATTTTTACAATGCACTTTCTGAAAAATTGTGAATATGTATTTTAATTCTATTTAAGTTGTTGAGAAGAAACTGTGGATGAATGATGCATTAAACAAAGTGGGAGGCTTGGCGCCTGTGGCTCAAGCGGCTAAGGCGCCAGCCATGTACACCTAAGGTGGCGGGTTCGAATCCCCAGCTCGGGCCCGCCAAACAGCAATGATGGCTGCAACCAAAAAATGGCCAGGAGCTGTGGCGGGCGCCTATAGTCCCAGCTACTTGGGAGGCGGAGGCAGGAGACTCGCTTGAGCCCAGGAGTTGGAGGTTGCTGTGAGCGTGATGCCATGGCACTCTACCCAGGGGGATAGCTTGAGGCTCCGTCTCAAAAATAAAATAAAATAAAATAAAATAAAAATAAAAATAAAAATAAAACAAAGTGGGAGACACACCAAGTTTGTTTCCTAGATTTTCTTAGAGGATTAAGGCCATATAATATGCAAACAGATTTCAAACAAAGATTTTATAAACAACTACAGAAAAGGGGAGAAGGGAATACACCCTACTATTTCAGCTCAACTTCATACAGTGAGTTAATCCAAATGCACATATCTCTGCCTCTAAAACTAACAACACAGATTCTTCTACACTGAACTTCTAAGTTATCAAAACTTAGAATGTTTTCCTGGGTGACTGAGGGCGTTTTGGGTAGTGTCTCTAAATTAGTGAGTCTAAGACAGCAATGATCATCCATACCACAGGAGTATTTTAAAAAATATACTAGCACTCTGGGAGGTTAAGATGGGTACACTGCCAGAGCTCATGGGTTCAAGACCAGCCTGAGTAAGAGCGAGACCCCATCTCTAAAAATAGCCAGGTGTTGTGGTAGGTGCCTATAGTCCCAGCTACTCAGCAGAGGATCTCTGGAGCCCAAGCATTTGAAGTTGCTGTGTGCTATGGTGCCACAGCACTTTACCGAGGGCCAAACTATCTTAAAAAAAGAAAAAAAAGTGTGTATATATAAATATATAAATGTCATATTCCAGATCTACAAAATCAGAATCTTCTACAATTTGCCTGGGTTCCTGCTACATACATGTAATAAGAATTTCTACTTTAAATTATTATCATTATTTTGCTCTGTTGCCTGGGCTAGAGTGCAGTTGCGTTGTATCATAGCTCGTAGCAACCTCAAACTCCTGTGCTCAGGCGATCCCCCTGCCTCAGCCTCCCAAGTAGCTGGGACTATAGGTGCTACCACCACACTAGTTAATTTCTTCTACTATTAGTAGAGAAGGGTACTCGCTCTTGCTCAGGCTGATCTTGAACTCCTGATGTCAAGGGATCTTCCTGCCTCTGCCTCTAGGCAGAGTGCTAGGATTACAGGTATGAGCCACCACACCTGGCCTAAGTTATTGAAAGATTCTTTGAAAAAGTGGACTTATAGTCACTCGCTTCCCTAATTATTCAGATAAACTAAGTAGTTAAAAGTGTAATCAACATCTCTTGGAAAAGTGAAATCTTTTTATTGCATTACCTTGATGGTAATTCTCAACCCTGAATTGAATGTATATTAGGATTAATGTGGGAAAGGGTACGGTTTTTAAAAATTAAGTATGCCTGAGTCTACTAATACTGTTTTTATGGGTTTAGAGTTCCCTTTTACATTGTTTTCAATCAACAATCATGCAGCAAAATCTTAAGAGATGATTTCTAACGTATCATCAAAAGGAATACTTTTAAATGTCATTGGTGGGAAAAACAGTACTAAACAGCTAGATTCTCAAAAGATAAGGGAGATTCTCAATAGAAGAGCTCATCTGTAAAGAGTCCAAGGCGGTAATTTTCCCAATTCCTAAGCTTTCTAATATTTCACATTTTTATGGCAAATTAGCCACTTGAAGTATATACATGTAATACAAAACATTTACTTAGAAAAATAAAGGTAAAACTTACAGTTTAGCCTTTGTGTTATTTAGTAAGTCTTCTTCATCACTAAACTCATCTTCATCTTTCTCATGGTCTGATGGTTCTTCACTTTTTTCATCCTCTTCCTCCTCCTCTTTTTCTTCCTCGATGGCAACCTCACTTGCCTTGTCTTCCTCTTCCAAGTAAAAATTTTTATCAGCACTCAGTCCAGGAGTTGTATCAATTACAAACAACGCACTGTCACATGGCACATTTCCTGTGTCTCCACTTAATGACTCTCTTTGGTCATTATTTTCAACAAAACACCTAGTGTCCTCTTCATCCTCACTGTTTTCAGACTGCTGGCTTTCATCACTGCTGAGAACCAGCAAAACAGAATCCTCTTTACCCTGTGATTTGTTGTGCTCAGACACATACAGTTTGGTATCATCTTCAAGATCTACATTCCCTTCACTGTTCTCGTCTTCACTGTCACCTATAATGGTGAATTCTTCTTCATCATCACTACCACCACAAACATCAAACTTTGTCAGGTCACTTGTTTCTACGGTGCTCTTTCTCTTTTCAGTCCATCTGTCCACTTCCACAACTGCAAATGTCTGAGCTAGTGATTTCAGTATAGCCTCAGAGTTCATACTTGAGGGCTCTGATGTGGCATCGTTATTTTGCGGGGTTGAATGCCTGTGAGAAACAAAGTGCTGAACACTAGTGTCCTGAAATTCAGAAAGATAATTCAACTGAGAACTTGTCTCATTAATTTCCTTTTCTTCATCTATTATTTTGTTAGCCTCTTCATCCACATCCTTGTAACTGCGCTTTCTTATTTCTGTAAGAGATGTAATATTGGCCTGTTTTTCATCTCTTACATTAGAAAGTTGGCATTTTTGCACTGTTAGTATTTTTTCTGAATTTCTGTGAAAGGAATCATCATCAAAGCCATTATTTGAAAAATACGGTTTATTTATTGGAGAAAGACATTTTGCTTGTAAATGAGAAATTTGTCTAGTGTCTGAATCCTCTGAATTCACAGGAACATCAACATTTTGCTTCTCATTCCCTGGTAAAATCTCACTATCTTTCTTCTCAGTTTGTGCCTCTAATTTCCTCTGCAGGCTTCTGGTGGTTCTCCTGGCATCAATTCCAGAGAATGAAATGTCTGAACATGATGTCTTAGCATCAGATGCAGCTTCAGTATGTGATTGTTGGCTTGGATCTGCCAGAGATTTAGCCTTACTTCTGGTTCTTGTTGTCTTTTCTGGGGGAAGCACAATTCTAGAAATACCTGAAACATGAGATTCTGCTTCAGAGACAACTTCTTCATTATGAGACTCATGAGACTCATTTGTTATAGTTATTTTTGGCCTTTTCTTAACACTGGACACTGGAGGGCATGCAATTAAGATCTGCCTTCTCCTAGTTACTCTTAAAATGGTATCCTGGTGCTCAGACACAGAAGAATAATTTGACTCTGCTTCAGAGATCTCATCATCAGTTGAGGGTTCAGTTACCTCTGGTGGTGAGCCTATAGTTCTGCTCTTCCTCTTTTTGGTTTTGGGAGTTCTGGGGATTGATCTTGGTTTCCCAGTGGTATGTGATTCATCAGGACTTTGGTCATTAGATCTAGATTCCTTCCTGCTTTCTGGATGTGGTTGAGACCCAATAGCAGCAGAATTCTGCAAGCCAGAGAAAACACAATGTAATTTAGGTATGGCCAGGACAAGGACAAAGCCAATGAGGTTCAGCCCCCAAGAGCAAAATTTAAGAGGGCACTAAAAATCCCAAGATTATTACAAAAAATAAAATGTAAGAAACACCAAGCCCATGTCTCCTTTTTTTTTTTTTTTCCAGGGTCTGGCTCTGGTCAGTGAGCAGTGGCATGATCACAGCTCACTGCAGCCTAGAACTCCTGGGTCCTCCCAACTCAAGACTCCAGAGTAGATGGGATTACAGGATACAGCCACTGCACTTGTTTCACTTGCTTCATCTTAGTTGTGGATCTGAACAATTAAAGAGAGTCCTTCTTCTCCATTCTTGCGATGCATTACTAAGAAGGATGTGTTCCACTTCCATCCAAGTTAATACAAAAGATGCAAACTCTCCATCTTTTTTAGTGGCTGAATAGTATTCCATGGTATAAAAATCCAGGTACTCTATTCAAATATGGCTGCAGAAGTTGAGCTAAAGGGAGGGGGGGGATGAGCAAGTGGGGAAAAGGGAGGGAGGGGGATGGGGAGGTCATGGTGTATGGCATACCTCTTGGGGGTGGGACACAATTGTAAGAGGGACTTTTATCTAACAAACGCAATCAATGTAACCTAATTCTTTGTACTCTCAATGAATCCCAAACAACAAAAAAGAAAATATAATTAAAATCAACACAAAAACAAAACAAAACATAAAAAGAGTCCAGGAAACAGAACAATTAAAAAAAGAATTTTTTCCACTCAAAGTCAAATATGCTAGGTAATCCTATGTTCTGACCCAAATATAGGGAAAGAGAAGAGAAGAGGAACATTAACTGAGCAAATAAGTCTTCAGGAAACATCTCAATGAAATCAGCCGCAGCTTAGACATTAAATAACTGCCGCCACGCCTTTGCCGTCAATGAAGAAATTATTAGGAGACTAACACCACCGAGAGCCACCAGGCGGCATCTCTACAGCCCTCCCCACGACACACGGACACAAGGGGGTGGTGTTGGGACAGCGCCAGCCTCTCCACGTGAAAACAACACCTTTCTCTCCAACTCCACTAAATGAAGCTTGTGCCTAGTAGTCAAAATTAACCTCCCTTGTTAAGATTTTTTTTTTCTTTTTTTAGACAGGGCCTCAAGCTATCGCCCTTGGTAGAGTCCTATGGCGTCACAGATCTCAGCAACCTCCAACTCCTGGGCTTAAGCGATACTCTTGCCTCAGCCACCCAAGTAGCTGGGACTACAGGTGCCTGCCACAACGCCCGGCTATTTTTTGGTTGTAGTTGTCATTGTCTGGCAGGCCCGGGCCAGATTCGAACCCACCAGCTCTGGTGTATGTGGCTGGCGCCTTAGCCGCTTGAGCCACAGGGGCTGAAACCTTTGGTAAGATCTTAACAGGTTAAATGCCCTGAGCTCTGCATCGGCCTTAAGGAGTTGAAAGACCCAAAGCAAGTCCTAACACCTATTCCACACTAAGAATCTCCTTTTCCAAAAAACAATAAAACAGTAAAATAAAATAAAAGAACTGCCTTGTAAGACCGTGGTAAGGACTAAAGTTTCTACCACAAGCTTATGGCAGTTCAGGGTCTAGTATGCCGAAACACGCGGCAAGTCCCAGCCCCTCTCCACTGGTCTTCCTCGCGTTCCGCCAGACTCCGTGCCGCCCCCACCTGCCTGAGCGCCGCTCTGCGAAGCAGCAGGAGAAATGGGGTAGACTTGCGATTTCCTACCTCCTGCTGGGAGCTTTCAGCCGACGTGGCTGGGATGCTTGTCCGAGCTCGCCCGGACCTGGTGACCACCATCTTCCCGGTGCCCAGCGGCCCAGCAGCCAACGCGGCTTCTCTCAGCTCCGGCGCCCCGGAAGTGCGTCAGAGAAACGCGTCGCTCGAGTTTTCCTCTGGGATCCCAGAAATCGCGAGAATCTTGGGCTTGAGTTCGTTCGGCTCCAGCTAGGGGCTGGAGAACGTGGCTTTTAGCGATCTCTTCATCGCTGTGGGGCAGAACCCAGCTCTTTGCTAGGGGAGACCTTCGTGGGAGCCGTGAAACCCGCAGAGACAAAAGGCTTTCGTACTTACTGGTACGAACAGATTGGAAAATCGCATCTTCTGCCTGCCTTTCCATCCCTCTTATTCGTTCACTAATTCCAAAGGTTTTAATGTAGCCAGGGGATATGTATACGTTTTTCTTTTTCTTTTTAATTTTCTTATGCATGTAATGTGTGCATTTGGTTTCTATTTTTTGCCTTCACAGAATTAAAAAGGCTTAAAATTTAATAATAACGTTTAAGATAAGGACTAGAAACAAAAACCAAAAGAAAGAAGATAAGTACATTCAGAAAAGAAATCAGACGATTACTGCAACGAAATATTGAGCAATAATAAAAATAATGCAAAAGTAACATTCACATTGTCAGATAAGAGTATGTCTATCATAGAATGCTTTGACTCTGAGGTTCAGTATGGAGTCATCAGTTAACTTATTTTTTTTCCAAAGTCTCAAAAACAGACAACTAATATTTATAAATAAAAATAGAAGATAATTTAAAAACACAGATCATGCCAAATCTTATACACAATAGAAAAAGAAGAAATACTTCAAAATGATTCTACTTCATGTGGACATACCTGATAATCAAATTGGAAAAAATACATTATTCTAAAGGGAAATTACAAACATACTTCACTTATAAATGAGGATGTAATATCCTAAACAACATATTAACAAGTTGAATTAAAAATTAATGTTCAATGTACTTTGGTCAAAATTAAATCAAATTTATCTAAGAATTAGTCATTATTTTCTTTTTTTCCTTTCCCTCACCCCCTCCTTCCTCCTCTTTCTGTCTGCTCTCCCCTTCCCCCATGCCCCACTGTGTCATTAATTGTCCTCATATCAAAGTTGAATACATAAGATTTATGCTTCTCCATTCCTGTGATGCTTCACTGAGAATAATGTGTTCCACTTCCATCCAGTTTAATATACATGCTACAAAATCTCCATTTTTTTTAAAGAGCTGAATAGTATTCCATGGTATACATACACCACTGCTTGCCAATCCATTCCTGGGTTGAGGGGCATTTAGGCTATTTCCACATTTTAGCGGTCACAATCACTAAAATATACCTTTTTCTTGAAACAGTAATGTACTATTGTATTATTTGTGAAGTTAAATATAAATAAATTTTAAAGACATGGTTGGGGTGTATATATATATACATATATATAGAGAGAGAGAGAAAGGGAGAGGCAGACAAAAAACACACCCCGGGGACTTGGAGACTAGTTTGGAAATTATATAATCTAAATGCATGATGTGTTTAGGAATTGGTAATAGCTGAAGAGAAGAAATATTAGAGAAATTTTAAGGGAGAGTGATAAATTTTTTTGCGTGAAAGAGAATAGAATCAAGAAAAGTGTTTTGGTTTTCTTTCAGGATAAAGGGTAGAGAAACAATATGTTGGAAGGGTTAGAAAGGGATTGAAGAAATAAGTAAATGGCATTTATTGTTGGACGTGAGAAAGGACGAATGCCTCAGCAAGTCTATTCCCTTTTACTTTATTAATAGAAAACCATTTTTTTTCCTTAAAGTCATGGCACAGATTTTTTTGTGGATACATTGCTTCCCAACTCAAAACTACTCCTTTTAAAGTCTTCCTTTTAGCCAGATGTAGCTAAGTGACTAAATTTTGGCCAATTACATATAAATCAACTTTTTTTTTTTTTTTGAGACAGAGCCTCAAGCTGTCGCTCTGGGTAGAGTGCCATGGCATCACAGCTCACAGCAATCTCCAACTCCTGGTCTTAAGCAATTCTATTGCCTCAGCCTCCCAAGGAGCTGGGACTACAGGTGCCCGCCACAACGCCTGGCTATTTTTTGGTTGTAGCCGTCATTGCTGTTTGGCAGGCCCAGGCTGGATTCAAACCTGCCAGCTCCGATGTATGTGGCTGGTGCCTTAGCAACTTGAGCTACAGGCACCAAACCTAAATCAAGTATTACTTCGAGGGCAGCGTCTTAAAAGGGAGATGGCCCTGTCTGACTTACTAAACTTCATTTTACTTTCTGGAAGGTTGTGTTTACTGGTTTTCAGGCAGCAGTTTTGTACTGTAGGAATACAAGACATGCTTTAGAGATAGCACAGAAGTGAGGAAGAAAATAAACAACTGGTGGAGCTGCCATCCTAGCCCTCAACAGCCTCCTAAATTTCTTTCACTTTTGAGAGAAATACCTTTTTAAAAAGCCACTGTTATTTAGGGATTTTTCTGTTTGTAGCAGAGCCCAATCAATACCAACTGAAGAATTAATAGAAAGGTGGAAGAGTTTAACCACAGAATACACCTTCCTTGGAGGCAGGAGGGAAGAGTATGTAAATTCAAGAAAATTCGAGTGGAGAGCAGAAAATGGGATTTGGGCTCCTCTCTTTAAGTAGATGGTGATTCCTCTCACAACAACAGAAAAGGGGAACTCTTCTGGGGAATGTGGTAAGGAACAAAAAGGAATTTTAGTAGGGCCAAGTAGCAAGGGAGACTATGTCAGATAAACAGAAAACAGGATAGAGTTGAAGAGACAAAGGGAGGAAGGAAAGTGAACTAACCGGAGAGGGGAAAGGGGAGTGGAGATGGAAGCGACAGAACCACAGCATTAATCATAATAGTTTTGAACACTTACTGTCTGGTAGATGTTATTCTAAGGGCTTACATGTATTCATTCATTCATTTAATCTCTGTAACAATTTTAACTTGAGCAAATGCATGAAAACAAAAAGGACAGGTGGGTGTAGAAAATTGGAAAGAATGTTAGAAAATCAGAGTGTAATATTCACTTGAAAGCTCGGCCTCTTGCAAGTAAAAAAAAGAAAAAGAAAACCCAAACATTTACCATTAAGAAACTCGGGTAAAGGCTCCGCGCCTATAGCTCAACCGGCTAGGGCGCCAGCCATGTACACCTAAGGTGGCAGGTTCAAATCCCCAGCCTGGGCCCGCCAAACAACAATGATGGCTGCAACCAAAAAATAGCCAGGCGTTGTG